CCCCCCCCCCCCCCCCCCCCCCACGGAGCCTGGAAAGACCGTCTCGAAGCCTGCTAGCTGGTGTTCAGCACTTCTCTTACATGTGCTGCTTCACTTAAGACATCACCCTGGATACTTTGCTTCAAGTTAGGCCAGTTGCCAACGATGTAGGCAGTCATTGTTTTCAGTAATTTGTATCTCCATTACAAGTTTATAGTGACTAGGTTTGGTTGCACAGGATTTGTAATCCCAGAATTTGGGAAGATGAAGCAAGATATTTGAGGAAGACTGTCTCAAAGGGAGGAAGAGAGGGGAGCCAGGGCAAAAAACAAAAAATAGGTTGTGGATGTAGCTCAGTTGATAGAGTGCTTGCCTACCATACACACGGTCCTGGGTTTGATCCTCAGCACTTGGGAGATGGAAGCAGGAGGATCAAAAGCTCAAGGTCATTCTCAGATACGTAGGGAGTTGAGGCTAGCCTGGGCTGTGTGAAATTTTCTCAAAAAATAATAAAAATAGAAGCTGGAGAGATGGCTCAGTGGTTAAGAGTACTGGCTGCTCTTGTAGAGAACCAGGGTTTGATTCCCAACACCCACATGATGGTTAACAACCATCAGTAACTCCGGTTCCAGGGGACCCAACGCCCTCTCCTGGCCTCTGCAGGCATTACATGAATGGGTATACTTACAGACAAAATACTCATACACGTAAAGTAAAAATAAAAATAAAATGTTCAGTAACAAAATTCATTTTTCTTTGTTGTGGGGTCTTTGGGGGGGGTTGCTTGTTTTGTTTTTATACTGCAGAGGTATAGTATATTCCTTAACAGTCTATAATCCCAAGAATTATGCTAGATATGCTGGTGACAATGGTGACTCTAAGAAAGGGAAGGGCAAGAGAAGAGACAGTGAGTGATCAAGGGCTTTCTCTGTACTGCTTGAATTTTTAACATGAGAATTAAAATTAAATTGAATCATACTGAATAGTCAAGTTAGAAAATTTAGGCCCTATCACATCAAAGGTGACACTAGAAAAGTGAGTGTCATTTGTTGGATATATGTATCTTTCACCTTGCCCATAGTCTCTGGGAAAGACTTAGCAATAATTCTATCTTGTGGATTTAGTTAGATATTCAACTTTTAGTCAGAACCTAGGGTTTAATGAATCCACTGTCTATGGAATCTCATTGTAAACCACAAGACTAGTTTGGTTGCTCCATTAGAGATTAGAGAAAACTGAAATGCTTCAGTTATCCACCATGACAATACATGACCAGGTGGTAAGATTGGATTACTTCTGAGCATTCAAAATGGTACTTTGAAGGAATTTGCCAGTATTTATCCCTTAGTTGGAAAATACTGCTCTAGATAACTTTAGCTGTTGATTTTAGAATTAATGTTTGTTGTTTATCTTAAATACCAGTGTACTTGGTACAGCAAATAAAGAACCTGTTCTTCAAAAACTGAATCTACTTGGAAACCAGGCATTGTGGAGCATGCCTGTAATCTCAGTCACTTGAGCCCAGGAGTGTAAAAATACTGTCTCTTAAAAAGCGAAAAAAAAAAAAACAAAAAAAAAAAACCCCCAAAAAACAGAAAAAAAAAAAAAAAAAAAAACCCCAAAAAAAAGGAAAAAAAAACAAAAAAAAAAAACCCCCAAAAAACAGAAAAAAAAAAAAAAAAAAAAACCCCAAAAAAAAGGAAAAAAAAACAAAAAAAAAAAACCCCCAAAAAACAGAAAA